GTGTGCAACCTCTCTTCTATTTATCTTAGTTGATATTCCTCTCCTCTCTCTCTATTGCCTCTTCTGTGTGTGTGTGTGTATGTGTGTGTGTGTGTGTGTGTGTGTGTGTGTGTGTGTGTGTGTGAGTGTGTGTGTGTGTGTCCTGAACAGGGCTTTTGTTTCGGGGTACAAAGACTTTTGGGGGGGACGGGGCTATTAGCTATGCATGGGTTCTCCTCTGCTCAATGCCTTTGTCATGCTGGTCTCTTTGGTAGCCCACAAACAAAACTAGCTTCTGTTTCTTCCTTGTCCTCACACACACACACACACACACACACACACACACACACACAGACATGCTCTCACACTTTCCTTCAAACACGGAGCATCTACATCTGTGTGTATCCTTTGCATCACATGATGATCTTATTCTGTTGCAGTTTTCATAACAACTCCTCAGTGTTATTATTTGAGTGTGTGTTTCCTCCCGGACTGACTCGTTACAACAGCAGCAACTATATGTCATAGTCCATATGATTAGACAAAACACGCATGTGCAGTAACGGAGAGAGAGAGAGAGAAAAGAAATATCTTTGCCTGTGCTACTTTCCCCCCTCACTTACACACACACACACACACACACACACACACACACACACACACATACACGTTTCTGTCTGACTGTGATATATGAGTGTGTGGGATTCACCAGAAGACGATGTCTGGACAATGTCGAGAGAATAGATAGGACAGGACATAAAGAACTATGATTAGTATCTATGTGGACGGTGGATTCTGGAGTTTTCTCCTGTGTGGTGGTGTAAATATGTCAGATGAGGGTCAAACCATAAAAAGAATTTGGTCAAATACAAAAAAAGGAAAATCATGACTGGAATACCGTGACAGTGCTGACATTTTTTCTGTAATTCTTGTTTTCATGCTGCAGGACCCAGTGAGTCATCTGATTGCTGCTGTAACTGCATGTTATATGAATACAATTTGGGCTTTGGTGCTTTAACTCACAGGCTCTTGTTGGGACCATTGCCCATGTCCACTGGCCAACAAAATAATTAGCTCCTCAGTGCACCAGCACAGTTTGAGTTCTCATCTCAAATGGCTCCATCTGCTGGTGAGAGACGGAATAATAAAGAGAGAACAGCAGACAGAGAGGGAAAGTAAACAGCTGAGCTCGGGCAAACTGTAGTGTATTAAAACAAGTAATTATACTCTCACTTGTAATATTTTGTACTTTTGGAGTGATAAAGAAAGAGTAATATGCAGTTGTATTTATCTGCACCCCCGACCAGTTGTTTTTAATAATAGATGTAATTTGTCCCTAGAATAAAGCTTTCACAGGAGAGACGAGGCCTACGCCCTCACAGTCCCGAGGAGGAGGGGCCTAACCTCACAGTCCCGAGGAGGAGGGGCCTAACCTCACAGTCCATGCAGGCATTAAGTGTTGTACTCCTATCACAAGTAATCATACTTGCAGTTGTTAAGTAGGTCGGTCTTGTGCTGTCGACTGTAACGTTAGTTAACTTACTGTAACTAAGTCTGAAGTTATGCTCACGGCTCTGTGAGGCACAGCGGTGCTTTGAGCTAAATGCTAACATCATCATCATGATGTTTAGTTAGCAGGTATAACATGTTTACCTGTGTTTCCTTAGTTAGCTTATAATGTTAGCATGCTAACACTAGCACTGGCTGAGTCTCCATCATTAATAACACCAGCAATAACATGTCAAAGGTCTACTGTATGAAACGCTTGTTTAATTTTGTTCACTGGCATCTTGTGAAACAAGACAAAACATTTGAAAAGAAAATGAAATGAGACGATTGCAGATGCTGTGTGAACAATCAGAGTCAGCTGTCCCCCCAAAATGAGAGAATACATCCCTCCTCCTCTCAGCCAGTAGATGGCAGCATGCTGTATTAAGATGGAGACATGGTCTCTTTTCACTTACGGACACGCACACACACACACACACACACACACACACTGAGCTCCATCTACCCCTCTCTCCCATGATGTCATAGCCAAGAGGCAGCATGGGAATATCTGTCACATCCACTTAGTTTCCTGCTGCCTCCCAGCTCTGTGTGTGTGTGTGTGTGTGTGTGTGTGTGTGTGTGTGTGTGTGTGT